GATTCACCGTGTCCTCTCTCCTCCCCTCAAGCTCATCGTTGCGCAACGCGGATGTTGCCTGTAGCGCTCAAGCTACTAGCACCAGGCGGGCTCTACAGTGCAGCCCAGTACATCAACAGGGCCCTGTCACCGCAAACCACAAGCACTAATAAGCATCCATCAGCTGGATTGATGCCTTTCCAGTTGACGCTCCCCGCTGTCCCCGCCCATCAATGTCATCAATCCATTTCCATGCCCCCTCCTAATGCCCCAACTCTAAAATAGTAACCTAACGCTCTGATCTTTGATCCATCTCGTCCTGTCCTGCAAGCTCACCGGCACAGTCTCGACACTCTTGCGACGCCCCTTAGACATCCCCTGGAATTCGCATCGAATCACGGCTGCACTAGGCGCCTGGACCATCCAATCACGCTGCATCATTGATCCCCTTCGTTCCCCCACGAGTGCGATAGACCACCCGCTGCCCCGCGACGACGACGCCTTCGACAGCCCCAACGCCCTTTGTTTGGTCTCGGTTTGGCTCTGCGACGCCCATCAATAACCCGACTCCCATCAACCAACTCCAGCATCCCCCCTCCGGCTCCGGACGTCTCCTCCTCCTCCACAAACTGGCCGGTAACAAGCGTCGCAGTCTCTCCTCTCACGGAGGAAGTCTGCTAAATAGAATGTTTGGCGGAGCCTCCAGCAACTCGTCGGCGGCCAAGTCTGAAAACGATTCCAAGAGCGACGGCAAGTCACCTTCTCCCGAGGGCAGCCCGACCGCGGCGTCTGCACTGCCCATCAAGAACGCGGACCAGGCGGCCAGCGGCGAGAAGCGCAGCGGCAATGGCAGCCCTCCCACCCGACAGGATACCGGCGAGAAGAAGCGCAGGAGTAGTGGCGTCAGCAGCAAGGCCAGCAGCCTGCTAGCTTCGGCCAGGAACTCGCTCAACTTCTCCCAGGTTGGCCGCTCGGGATCCGACGCAGGCGCTCAGACGCCGCTCCAGAAGCTCGGGAAGCAGGACCCAGCTCTCGCCGTGCCCCAGGGCCAGCACAACAACTCGGCCGGCGACTCGGTCCCAGGGCCAAAGTCCACCTTCCGCGTCGGTGTTTGGGAAGATAGGAACAAGAAATGCCGCCGGACGATGGAGGACACGCATGCCTTTCTCTACAACTTGCTGGACACGCCGGCTCCCGCGGTCGACGCATCTGCCGGAAAGGACAAGTCCGGTAAGGACGACAAGGACGCTGCTGCTCAGAAAGAGGTCTCCGAGTCGGACAACGGCTACTTTGCCATCTTTGACGGCCATGCCGGCACGTTCGCCGCGGACTGGTGCGGCAAGAAGCTTCACATTATTCTAGAAGACATGATACGAAAACACCCCAACATGCCGATTCCCGAGCTCCTGGACATGACATTTACATCCGTCGACGCCCAGCTTGAGAAGCTCCCGCTTAAGAACAGCGGCTGCACGGCGGCCGTTGCGGTTCTTCGCTGGGAGGACCGCGTGCCCAGCGATCGATCCGTCACCGGTTCCCTGGCCATTGCCCCGGCTGCCGCAAACGTTGCTGCCGGCAAGGTATTGGCCAAGTCGCAAGAATCAGAAAAGGAAAAAGATGGCTCGTCAGAACCGTCGCAGGCGGTTCCTAGCGAGTCCATCACCGCCAAGCTCAGGGGAATGGCCAGTCGACAGCGTGTCTTGTACACGGCCAACGTGGGAGATGCACGCATCATCCTGTGTCGAAACGGCAAGGCCCTGCGCTTATCCTACGATCACAAGGGAAGCGACGAGAACGAAGGAAAGCGAATTGCCAACGCCGGAGGTCTCATCCTCAACAACCGCGTCAACGGAGTCCTGGCTGTCACCAGAGCACTTGGAGATACCTATATGAAGGATCTCGTGACTGGCCACCCATACACCACGGAGACGGTCATACAACATGACCTTGACGAGTTTATCATTATTGCTTGTGATGGGGTGAGTGTCTGCTGACGTGACGGGGATTATTGTCTTGAAAGATGTGCTGACTTGTAGTGAATAGCTATGGGATGTATGTAGTGATCAAGAGGCCGTTGACCTCGTCCGAGACGTTCACGATCCGATTGAGGGCTCGAAACTACTAGTCGACCACGCTCTCAACCGATTCAGTACGGACAATTTGTCGTGTATGATTGTGCGACTCGACAAGGAGGCTCTTGCACAGAGCCAAACCAACCCGGCTCGCTCGGATACCGAAACCGAGCCGAACAACGGCACCGCGGCAAAGGTCAGCGAGGTAGACAAGATTATCTCGGACACTAAGCAGAAGATCGCCGAGGGCAAAAACCCGGCCGTGGGCGTGTCAGCCAGCAATAGCGGACGTGGATATGACGCCGTTGCCGCGCAAGAGGAGGGATTTGTTCCCACGAGCTTGAGTGATGCATTGGTTGAAGAGCCTACTGCTATTGAAGGGGATGATAGCCCCGAGTTGGCTGTGACCGAAAACCCGGTCGAGGCTGCCGCTGCTGCTACTTCTACCGCGCAAGAGTCAAAACCCGAATCAAAGGAGCCTGCAGACGCCTAGGATTCACACACCCCTGCTGCCCAGCCAGAGGCCGTCTAGCAGTCGCAACTGAGCCTCTTGGACGGGCCTCCAACTGGAGTACGCAGGGGTGGAAGTGGTGGCAAATACGGCCCAGATCTACAGAGTACACGCGGTGAAGCAAGCAGTGGAGGAATCCAGTCGACGGAACGGCAGCGTGGATGGATTTTTGGGGACCCGTATTGGCTTAAGCATTGATATACTACGAAAGAGAAAGACGAGACGAGACGGTGACGAGGCTGATGTCTCATGGGGCGGTGTGCGTACGGTTGGACAAAGACTAAGACGGCCGGGCCAGGTGTTGTACGCTACCTGTATCTGTATGTAAGAGATTGCGGACGTTGTTTGGGCTGTTTTTTTTGCGGAATGCAAGACTATCGATATCGAGTACACTACTATATCGGTTCTTGGCTGTTGTTGCTGGTGATTTTGCCTCTATGTTTCTGCCTCGTGTTGATGTGCAAGCTTCTCTTTGCCTTGAAGATGCTTAAAGGCAGAGTTATCTTCCAAGGGCAGGATACAATGGAGCGTGTCTATGGAGTCGGGGTACCAGGAGGATGGACGGCATACGGAGTGTGTTCACTTGACACCACGCTACTGTAAAATACTGCAATATTCGCACTCCTTGCTTATAATGGTGGAGAATCGGGCAGTGGGATATAAGACAGGCTCCCAGACATTGTTCCTTCCGTAGGATCCGGCCAAGATGACTAAGAAAGAAGACAATCATCTCCTACAAGTGATTGCGTACAAACAAAGCAGCGTCAACATTGGCCCATCCAATTGACGAATTGCTTCATTTTACTTGTGGCAGCCAGGACGAACCAATAAACAGCCACAGCTGCACCAGCTATCCGGAGACGCGGTCGGGCCTCCACTAGTGATGCTACTGCCAGTTTATGGGTAACGATGGGGCTTTGTGCAGACAGCAGCTGCACGACGTGCGTTTCAGAAGCCCAGCCACGGCACACGGCACTTGCAGGATCGGAGTCGATGCTTGTCTGTTGTCTGTTGGACGATGCGATCAATCCGGCTGTGATGACAACAAGATGGATCGGCACTCTCACCGTTCGGTACGGGCATAACATCATGACGGTGGCAAGACAGACAAACAAACAAACAAACAAACAGTCGGTTACAACAAGCCAACGGGGCAGCTTATCGCCATTCAACCACAAGAACGCCGTGGCACTAACCGCGCAACTATTGGACGAGAGTCTTTGTGCCAAGGGGGGGCCCGAGCTCATTTCAAAAAAAAAAAATTAACGAAATGGGGATCCCCCCCGGTCGCCGGTTGATGAAGACAAAGTCCAATACGGAGCGCTTTCTGCCGTGAGCGAACCCACGCGGTTGGCTGGCCGTCGAGAGACCCCTGGTTTTCCGGGATGGGGGGGAGCTTGCAGGGGTTCGTTGAATGGCCCAGCTAAACCCCCTTAAGCCAACCGGGACTCGAAGAAACATGGACGGCAAGGAAGAGGAATGCCCGGCTGTCGAGAGTGCTGTGGTCGTGGTCGTGGGCCCCGCGCCTTGGCTGGAACGCGTCTTGCCTGGGCCTTGTATTGTACGATACGAGGACTATCATTCGACTGCTGTCCGATCCAATCCAATCCAGTCCAATCCAATGGCGCGGTAAAGCTGGCCGACAATCTCTTTTTCTGTCTCGTCTCTGATGCGGACTGGCAGTTAGTTGGTCTGTCTGTGCTTTGTCTTTGTGTGGGTGGCACCAAGTTTGCATTGCATTGCCTTGTCTAGACCCCCCTTGCCTCCATGTATCTGCGGCGCGGCGCTTAGCAACAAGTGGACTCTGGCTCAGGCACAGGCACATTCGATCTCGCGACCTGCAGAGCGCGGCCTCGGTTTTTTTCCTCTGTTTTGCGCAGCCAAGCAAGAGTGACAGTCAGACAGACAGCGTTGTGTTGTGCCAGAGTTGGGTCCCGCGACTGGAAGCTCGATGTAATTCCGCTCCGGCCTCCAGCTCACATTCCTTGCATCTCCCCATCCTGAACAGACGGGCTCTCGATTTGCCCTACCAGGACAGCTTCCAAGGCCGCAAGCTCAAGGTTATACGATTTGCTTCCCCCACGTCGCGATCCGATTCGTTCCTCTCCATGTCCATCGCTGTCGCATCTTGCCCCTGAGTATTGGTGGTAGCACGCTCGCAAAGCCGACGCAGCGCGCCGAGTGTGTCTTGTTTGCCCGCGGGCACAGCAATTTTTAATTTTTTTTTTTCCATTCTCAGTCCTTCGTTACTGTTGATATTCTTTTTTTTTTCTCGCTTCATTTTTGAAGAGAAAAGACTTTTTCTTTTTGTCGCTCTTTATTCATCGCCTTTCCCCCTCCGGCTTTCTTCGAGGTAACCTCTGGGTTGAGCTGGACTTGGCCGAGCTGGTTGGCGGAAGCGATCGAACCATAGAAATCGGAGCCACATCCGAGCAAACATGTCGCTAAACGGCTTAGACGATCCCAAGATTGTAGAGGCGCATGAGGCTGGCGTTGCTGAGCCTGGAGGATGGTATGCATGGTCCACTCCCCCAATCCAAGTGCTGTATAAGATTTCCATTTGCTGAGACCCGGCCTTTGCTCGTGTTATCGATAGGTTCCTGCTCAAGTATTCGAGTCGCGACGAGGTCGAACTGCTGGAGAAGGGAAATGGGGGCATCGTCGAGATTCGAAATGCCATTGCCGGCTTTGAGGAAGAAAGCCCGTTGTATGGCTTTCTGCGGTACCGGAGGAGGAACGTCATTGTTAAATACCTACCCGAAGACTGCTCTCGGCTTATACAAGGTCAGCTCTTTGTGCTCACGCCTTTGCTCCCATCTGTGGATCAGCGGTGATCTGCGTCGCAATCATCATAGGATGCTAACTGTGGCCGACTAGCTCGAGTTGCCGTGCACTTCAACGCCGTCTGCGAACGATTTGCCCCGTACGATACCATCTTCGAAATCTCGACGGCCGCCGAACTGAGAGACACGAAGCTATCTGCAGCCTGCTCCTTGCATGCGGCATCTGGGTCTACGGCATCATCCACCAGCTCGCGAAGACGACGCTTGGTGGAAATTGCCGAGGAGGAGGAAGAGGATCAACGATCTTCCAAGCGGCAGTCAGTGCTGGAATCCGACGATGGCCGGCCGCGGACACCTGGCGGCCAATCTACGGCGGGGGACGAGGTCAAGCTCAACTCTGAGCTGGCATCTTCGCCTGAGCACAGCAAGTTTGCAGCCTCCACTACCTCTGAGGTCCCCAAGTTTTTAGGCATTCCCGACGCGCCGCCTTCGCCTACGAGATCGGTCGATACGACCGACAGCTACAACTACTACCTCACGAGCAAACCAAAGGTGAAGCTCGCCGCCCGACCCGCGGCCGAAGGTGCGATAAAGCCACAGACGGCTGGAAACTTTAGGCCGGTTTCATCTCTGCCGGCCGGATACAAGCTGTTTGGGAAGGGCCAGAAGAAGGGAAAAGGGAAGGACGGAGATTCTGCGTCCTTGATCCACGAGGAAATCCCAGAGATGGAGCCACCTGCTGATGCTACTACTACGGCGCCGGCACCAGAGGACTCATTAGGAATCACTGGCGATGCCTCACGACCGACTACGAGCACGGGGCCACGGGCCGATACATTGTCTGTGCCCGCGGCGCCCACTAAGCCTACCATTACTCCTGAGAAGGCCAGGCTGATGAAGGCCATGAAGCTTAGGGAGAAGAAGAAGAAGAAGCAGCAGGAACAGCAGAAGCAGGAGCAGGAGCAAGAGCAATCTGGAGCGGATGCACCAGGCCCCGAAGATAAGAATACAATCACGGATATGGAGTACGCTGTGGATGCCGCTATTGAAAGCCATGATAATGATGATAATGACGGACCGGACGCTGAAGAACCAAACGCGCAAGAAGATGAGAAGCAAAAAAGCGAAGGGGCTGAAGATGGAACAGCCTCCATCAGCCAAGCGGATTCGGGCGTGGTTTTGGATAGCCTCTCGTCGTCTGTGCACATAGATGAAGTGTCCGAGGGAACTCGGTCAGAGTCGCCGGCAGTTCTCTCTTCGGAGCGCGATGAGTCGACGGGCGCCTCTTCGCTTTCGGACTCGACCGACGAGACGGTTCATGCGAAGGATGCAGATGAAGTAGAAGATGGCACCGCGGGGGATGAGGAGGCTCAGAAGCCAGCGCCCAGTGCATCGGAGGATGAGGGCCGGGCCGCAGAGGTTGATGCATCGGGATCGTTGTTGCCCGCAGCTGTCATCACTGCAGCTGCTGCCGCTGAACCATCATTGTTGAAGAAAGATGAGTCGACGGCGACAATGCAAACGAGAGAGACTGGCAGCTCGGCGGCAATGGAGTCCAATGAGACTGAGATTGAGATTGCTGCTGCCGGGGCTGCTAATAAGGGATCGGCCAAGGCCGAAAATGAAAAGGAGAAAAAAGGGATTGCAGTGCCAATTTCAAAGCTGTCGGCGAATATTCCGACGTCGAGGGCCCCACCGACCGCCTCATTAAGTGGCATGGGATCTGGCGCAGGCGAGATTTTACCACCTGGTGCTGATGCCGGTGCTGGTGCGACCCCTGGCGATGTTGCGCAGGCAACGGGAGCGGAAACGGACAAAGGGGAATTAGAGGCAGCAGAGGCTTCTCCACCATCCACATCCATCCTCTCGAGGCACCACTCAGTCGACAAACAAACAACCGCCATGGAGGAGGCGGATCTCCTGCAGACGGACCCGTCCGATGAGGCAATTCCAATCGAAACGCCTGCAGCAGCGACGACGGCCGGCGACACGGGCGCTCCCGAAGACGACACAGAGCCAGAACAACAAGAGCCACGGCGATGCAGCTCCAAACGCGCGGCTGGCAGGCTGGCACCGATCCGCACCGATCTTGGCGACCATAATGACAGTGACAGTGACAATGACAATGACGATGATGCCCTCGTCCAGGAGACCCAGGCCGCCCACGACGACGCGCAGAAGCACGACAATGAGCCAATGGTGGCCACCAAATCTCCGCTCACCCCTGTCTTCCCCAGCGCTCCCATTGCCAATGGGCCGCTAGGCGCCAGAGCTCCACAGGCACACACCGTTCGAACAGTCTCCAATCCTGTCCGTGGCAACTTGATCGCTCCGACAGATGTAACTCAGTCCTCGGCGCGTTCTCTGAGTTCGGGCGCAGCTCTCTTACACAAGGTCACGCAGCAGCAGTCGGCCAGCCTCGCCACCATGAAGCCCAACGTCGGGTCCAGCATTTCGCAGCGCATCAAGGCGCTCGAGAAGCTGTCGGCCACATCAGGTGATCAGTCGCGGCCCGTCAGTCGAGAGCGGCCGTCGTCGACCTTTTTCGCGGTGCAGAAGCGGGAGACGTCGAGGCCGCCGTCGGTCGTGGACAGGACAAAGTCCCTCAAGGGACGGGCCGCCTCGCCGACGCCGTCGCAGCCCGACGATGCGCTGTTCGAGGGCAGAGTGCGCCTGCAGCGGTCGGGATCCGTCGTCAGTCGGGTGTCCATGTTTGAGCCGCTGGCCGCCTCTGCCTCGAGCCCGCCGTCGGGCCTGGCGCCCGGCACCCAGTCGCGAGGCCGGCCCGAGTCCGTCGCCATCACCACAAAGATTGTTCGCGACCAGCTGTCTGGGTACGAGCTGCCACCAAAGGACGCCTCTGACTACGGCTACCAGTCGCCGCTCGACCACCACCGAGGCGACCAAGGCTCATCAGAACGACGGTCCAGATCTCTCGAACGCGGCGGCGAGGACGACATGGGTAGGCGATCCTCGCTAAATGCGGTAAAGGGGTTCTTCAAGGACCCGCGAAAGACTGTCACTGTCTCGACTAACATGCGCCATGCCTTAGTTTCTAGGACAACAACCCAGTCGCCTAGTACTGCGAGCCACCGCCTGTCCATGAGCAGTCGCCGCTCCATCACCTTTGACCGCGACATTTCCAGCGTGACTGAAGATTCGTTCTCGGGCGACGACAAGTCCTCTGAGAGGAAGACTTCGCGCGCCGGGCGGTTTATGCGTAAGCTTTCCAGTTTCTCCACCGGGTCCAAGAGCAGCAAAACGAATAAAGCCCCCTCAGCAGACGAAAGCGGCCGTACGCAGAGCAATCATGCCGGCGTGAACCGTCAACAACAACAACAACAACAACAACAACAACAGCCCTCCGGGGCTCCCGCCACCGGCTCCGACGAGGCATCCATCGTGTCAGATTTGGGAGACGTCAACGTCCAGTTCCCCGACAGCCTGCTGTGGAAGCGACGCAACCTGTGCCTCGACTCGAAGGGTTACATCCTCCTCAGCGCTCTGCCGACGCAGAGCAGCCGAGTGGCGGTGGGGACGAGAAAGTATCACATGAGCGGGTTTCGACAGCCCGTCACGCCGGACGTGGATGCGCAGGAGCTGCCAAACAGCGTAGTCTTGGACTTTGTCGAGGGCACGGGCATCCAGCTGGCGTGCGAGGATAGGACCGGACAGATGAATGTGCTGCATGGTATGATTTGCTCGTCTTGGCTTTTGTCATTGTGTGGAAGTGCTGATTATGTGTGTCTAGTTTTGCAAGCTGCTCATGCTAACCATAGCCGATGAGTTTCTTTTGCGTGAAGCGTCGACTTTCAACCAACAGGGAGTGAGAGCACTTTTATATATGTGACGCTCACATCCCATACTGAATCAAAGAAGAAAGAAAAGAAAAAAGGCTTATAGAAGGCAGCATATACAGCGTATATGTATGCCCCCCCTTGTTTCCTCTACCCCTCCAAGAAGGGGGACTCATCATGCTCTCCATGTCTGCACGATGTTGGATTATTCACCTCATGCACTTTGAACTAACCTTTTTTCCTTTCATGTCCCACTTCTACTCTCTTCGTTTTCCTCTCTCTCTCACTCACTCACTCTCATACACTCTCCTACAATCTCTTTTTTTCGCCGAAACAAAAACCTACACACCATAGAAAGTCGGGACAGGGCAACGGATCAGGGCAAATGGGGATGGTGGCCTATCACAAAAAAAAAAGAATATATAGTTGGGAGAAAGGTTTCGTTGCTAACATGCGTCCAAAAGGACGGAAAGAAAAGGGGAAAGAAAAAAAAAAGAAGAAACATGTGGGAAAAGATGTGTGTTTTTATATATATATATTTGTGTATATATGGTACCATGTTTTTCTTTCATTTCTTTCCCTCTTTTTTTTTTCCGTCCTAGCACTGTTCTTTTTTCTTTTTTTTCCATCTACACACACAGATACACCTCGACGAGCAGACACTTTTTTTTTTTTTTACCCTTGTTATTTCTTTTTCCTTTATTCTTTCTAGGAAGGATGTTTTTTTTTTTTGTAGTCTTATTTTTTTTTTACATGATACCATGGCAAGTTAGAATAATCTTGCTTATTTTTTTACTCTTTATTCTTATTGTTTAGTTTTTATTGTGTTTGAGTGTCCTACTCGTACTTGTACACGTACTCGCCAGATCAGCCTTTTCTCTTGTCGTCGTTTTTCTTTTTAAACATCTAATTCCTTTCTTTTTTTTTTGTTATTTGAGTGGTTCTTTTTTTTTTTTTTTTTTTTGGGGGGGGGGGGGGGGGGGGGA